TCTGTGGACTCATATCTAGTCCTTTAGCAAACTATGCCATTAAGAAGCTGGATACCACCCCCTAGTGTGCAGTCTGTGAACAAAAGAGGATATTTCTCACTTTAAAAAGAATTGGTGCACTTCTCAAGGACCATATATGTATTTGGTAGTATGTGTGGAAAGGTTACATGATTCACTGAGCTGGTATGGCATATTAAAGGATTCAAGAGTCCATTATATAATGTTGATGTTGATAAGCTATCAGTTTTCAATTATAAAGGCTTAATTAATTGTCTGTATATTGATGGGTGAATTTTCAAATTGCTGAAGCCTGATTTCTCTTTTGAATATGCAATGTATACTTTCAAATTTAGTACTTCTGGTAAATGTTGCCTGAATTATGCTCTTAAGCAGGAAATTACAGGGACAGGTATTTTGCATTCTGGGTACAAAAAGGTATGCTCACAAAAAGAGGACAACTTTTTTAACTGTGTCCCCTTTGTTATTTAAAGATTTGGAAAAATTATATTGGTATTTCTAAAAACTAAAATTTTCACATGCATACACATCAGCACATCTTGCAAAAATTAATCATTTGGCTACTATTCCTTGCACATCTCTGCAAAAATCTTATTTGTTAATTTTAGATCCTATCCCATTCCCATTGAAGTCAATGGGAGAAGGCTTGAAAATCTAAATTATCTTGCCGTTTCAGTATATTGTTATTAATAGAGTTGGTCAAATATAATGAAATCTTATAGTCAGTTTATTTTGTAATACTTACTGAAAATACTTTTGACCTCATAATTTTTGCTGCAATATTTGCCTTCCTATATAGCTAGTTCAATATCATTCATCAAATAATTTAGCTGGCAATATTGCTAGAAGAGATTGAATACATTATTTGATTAATAATTTTGTGTATTATCCAACCAGTTTAAATATAAAATTGCACTAATAGAGTGCCTTCCATCCAAGTACTTATACTGTTGGATAGCCGTATACCTTGTATTTTAGCCAAACCTTTACTATCTTGGTTTGAGTGACAGGGAAAAGTCTGCCATTTTACTGACTCCTCTCACTGTCAGCAACACAAACCAGCATGGACAGCTGTTAGAATTGTAAAATATTGGGCTATGATCTGTGATAGTCAGAGATACTGTTTTGCTCATTCTTCTGCACTGTCCAATTAATGCATTCATCTCAATAAAATACCAGGTTCCGTGCAAAAATTCTTGAAGGCAAAATTAACATGGAATCAATCTTTCTTAATATCGAAAATAATAAGTTATAAAGAAAATTGTATGAGGGGACACGGTCATAAAGACATGACAGAGTCTATAAATATACTTCTGTAGTTCAGAAACACCAGTAGCTTTTCATATTTATGTTCAGAGCCATCACTAGGGTATGGCAAATCAAGGCAAAGACAGGCGGAGCAGCTGTGGCCCCTCCTGCAGGAGCTGCCAGCAGCCCCGCGCCACGGAAAAGCATGGAGACACCCACCCCCCCCCTTTTCAGGGGTACCACTGCTCGATGCAGTGTTAAAGGGGTCCTGCACAGGCTGATTTGCCCCAGGCCCCGCACCCCACCTAGGGTCAGCTCTGATTATGATATCCACTAAGGCTGTGTGAAGCTTCGGTCACTGATTCAATTCAGCAGAGATTTGGCCCAATTTGGTGGCTGAATCTCCAAATCGAATTAGGAGACCCTTTAATCTCTCCAAAATGAAGCAGAACCCTTCAAATTGATTCAGAGAGATTCGGAAAGTTTCAGCAATTGGGACATAGACACAGCTTTAAATGTTTTTTCTGCATACCTCAAGGTACCAGACGGCTCATGAATGATGAGATGCTGGGGTGGATGAGCATCCCACAGGAGCACAGGGGCCCCCCCAGCATGCTCGGCAGAATACCTGGAAGTGGACCGGAAGCACTTCCGGTCCACTTCTGGGTCCACCAGACAGCACGTAGAGGGGCCCCCCCATGTCTCCCCAGCTCGGAGATTGGTGCCTCCTAGGTTTGGGGGGAAGCACCTGGGGTCCCTCTGTGGCTGATTGCTGAGCTGGGTGTGGGGTGCAGGGCGGACCCTGAAGTGAACCGGAAGTGCTTCCGGTCCACTTCTGAGTTCATCGCTGAGCATGCGGGGGGGCCCCCCTGTGGGACACTCCATCCACCCCAGTATTGAAGCATTCACAAGCTGTGCCTGGTACCTCAAGGTATGTACAAAAAACATTTAAAGCTGTGTCTATAGCCAAATTGATGATTCTCCAAATCAGCATTGAATCTTCAAATTCGGATTTGGCCAACTCGAATCGGGACAGTTATCCGAATCAATGAATCAAATCAGTGTCCCCAAATCGGGCCGCATCTGAATCCAAATCAAATAGGGCCCGTTTCGTGCACCCCTAACATCCACAGCTGAAACGGTAGAATATCCTGGAAACAGTCATAAATAAATGGAGTATTAAAGTACCTGTTTAACAAAGGAAGTTGAATATATGTATGTCTTATGTATATATATTACTTAACTGCAATTATGTGCAGTAATGTACCAGTCATCAGCTTAATCCTGCATGTGTGTAAAAATATATATGTATATTTAGCTGCTCTTCATCTCCTTTTGTATCTGCACTCTGTTTTGACCCACGTTTCATGTGTGTGAATGATCTCAAAGTAATGTCCTGTGAGTAAACTTGCACAGATAAATGTTTAAAACATTGGACCCTTACATTTTAATTAGCTATGTAGTAATGACTGATAAATAATGTAGCTCCATTTAAACATTTACAAGAGTATATTTATTTATTTATTAAATATACAATATTCTACCCTGTTCAGAGAATGCTCAGGGAGGTGTGCAATAAAACCTACAAGATATATTATGAAACAAAAAGAGACACCCCAGCATAAGGATGTCTGTCCCATACCCCAAAATGTTGGTGCTACTTTTTTAAGATCAGGACACTTCTAAAAATGTATCCACACTTAGGAGTAGGCTGGCATTAATCTTTTTTTCTAGACTGTCCAGAATCCCTCCTATAATAATGGTCAACTTTAGATGCATCTCTTAATCTACTATTAGCGTAGAAAACAGTGAATTTTCCAGACAATATATAGCTATTATCATGCACCATGATCTGGCCAAGCACATCCTAAAAATGAAGCTTTAATTGGTTCCTGTTTAGGCATTCAAAAACTAGTGTACAGAAGCAGCACCCCTATTTGACACTGGTTTGCCTACTGGATTTTTTTGTCTATAAATTCCATAATTATGTGATAAATTTACTTCTTTCCATCATTTTTCAGGCTATGAAAATCTGATGCAAGGTCAGTAAAGATAAAAGAGAGAGCTTGATTATGTTACCATGCTCAGGTAGTTACATAATATGCACCTCGGAAAATACCAGTTCTTCATTGTCAATCTCTTTTTTTTTTTACTACAGAAAAGTAATAGCGCAAGTCTTTGCTGCAATGACCACAGAAAGACCCCGGCGGATCGGAACACGGAAGGCTGCGGATGCCATGCTGTCGGCGCCCGCCGCGGCGGGCCCTGCTCCTGGGAAGCATCTCAAGGCACCCGGCTGAAAATCACTGTTTTGGACAAACTCTTGCCTTACTGAATTAGCACAGGAGGACTGGGCAGGCACACAAGTACAGGGCCTCTTGCAGCAAGCCGTGCCTGGCCCCCACGGACCAGAGCTTTCCACCTTGTCCTGAAAACATTGCCGAGTGTGAAAAACTCTGCACAGGGGCTGTTAGTGTTTGCAACCGCTCTCACTTACGTGTGTTACACGTGTGGGGGGGGGG